CGTAATCTGTCGATCCGCCTCCCAATGTATGGCAGGATCTCAATGGCAAAGACTCGCCCTAATACCTAATACACAATGCCAAATCTCTTGGTTTTGCCACGGGCGTACAGCACAGAACACTAGTCCGCGTGCACGCCGACAGGCATAATCCTACCTACCAAGTACGACACTATACCACACAGGACTTACTGCTGAGTGGTCGGACTTGACTCTTGAGGTTGGTGGGAAAATCTGTTCTGTTATATTTACCCTCATGGGCTGATCTAATCCTTAATGTTTCCTATAGTCATATACAAATATCTAATATAAACGCGTCCGTTATGGAACTCCCTAAAACTCCCGTTGCTCCGACAAGTCGCGAGTTCTTTCTTGGTCTTGGATCTTGAGTGGTTTCACGTTCCGTTGAGTCTAGTCGTTGGATTTAGGACATGCCGACGATTCGACCCATTGATAAGCCCGTTACTTTGGCTCTGTCTTCGGCATGGTCCCCTTTCCTTGATTCTTCGTCACCGTTTGTTTATCAACCAATGAGAACCACCGAACTTGGCAGTCAGTCTTCGTTTACGGGGACTGACCACAACGCGGCCTCCCAGTTTTCGCAGCCCTTCCTACCGTTGGTTCACAAGTGATTTACTACACCACACAAAACTATGGCAGCCACGACTGCTCTGAGAGTAGCCCAAGCTTTCGAAGAATGTGAGTACCGGAGGTTCGGTGCACCTTCCCTCATCAGACATGACAGGGACCCTCGATTCATGAGCGAGGTGTTCCAGTCGTTCACCGAAATGATGCAAAGGTCTAGGGAAACGTTGAGCTACCGGCCCCAAGCCAATGGCCAGCAAGAGCGCTCGGTTAAGACCGTCATGCAATCAGTGCGAGTGTACGCGGAAGATCCACTGCAACAAGACTGGGACGAGATTGCCGAGAAGTTGATCTTTGCGATCAACAACTCAATGGACACAACGAGGAAAGAGACACCTTTTTCCTCGTCCATGAGTGGGACGCTCAGTCCACACTCCAAAGCGATGTCCTCAAACGAGGACTCGGTCGACAGTCAGATGCACTGGTATGGCGTCGAGAAGTGAATCGGCAGCAAGAAATAGCTTTCGAAATGGTCAAGGAATATCAGGCCACCGAGAAAGCTCGGAGAGCGAGGAAGCACAATGAAAGCCTCCGTGGCCGAGAAACAGGTACAACCTCAGAAACAGGCCGAACCGTCACGCCAAGTGACGAACGGTCTGCGACAGGGGCAGTGACCGAGGACTCGGAGAGCAATGCTACAGGCGCAACGAGGTCCCTTTTTGAGGTCGGGAGCCGGGTTTGGCTGTATATGGAACGAGTGAAGCCAGGATTGACGAAAAACTTGCACATCGATGGCATGGACCGTTCAGGGTCAAGAGGAAGTAGAAGAGTTCGCCTACAAGCTTGAACTTCCCGATCGAAGCGGGTACAGCTTTTACCCGGTAGTGCATGTGTCACGTCTAAAGATGGTAGACGAATTTGGAGATCGACCGAGCGCTCGTTTGACGCGAGACGAGAACAAGGCTACACGACTAGATTTCGACGAGGAATTACTCCCAGAAGATAGTTGGGAACCAGATCACGTCGCGGTTGAAGTTGAAGTTGAAGCGATACTAGATGATAGAACCCCTCTGCCCACTAGCACATAACGAGCCGTCAGAGAGTTCAAGGTGAAATGGGTCGGCTATGACGACCCGCCGTGGGAACCCGCATCTAATCTCACGTGCGGGGGTCTATTATACGACTAACTCCGAGAAAAATGTCGTGACCGAAGGTTGCAAATGATCCAAGTCGCTGACGAGAACTAGAAGCGACCGATGAATGATCTGCCTGTGGGGTAAGTGCAGCCCACAACAGTAGCCGAAAGAAGCTACTGCACCAGAATGCATTTTACGTGTTTGTATATGTTCTATATGATGTGAACGATTTTCGGGATGGAATATGGAGATATGGAGAATGGAGATTACGAAACTACTTGGAATTATCACTAGATTAATGCTTGAAAACTTAATTACTCCGACGCCAAACGCTCGCTGGTCGAGGTCGCAATCTGGACTAGCATCTCGAACGGAGCGAGGACGATGTTGGATGGAGGCTCCTCCACGTCGTGGGCAGGAGCCTCAACACCAGTAGGGGTGGCCAAGCTCTCGGCCGCTGCGCTATCAGATCCCGAAGCTGCAGCCTCAGTAGGGGCAAACGAGAATGAGCCCTCGTCCAAAGCTTCTACTGCCACAACAGGAGCTGAAGAAGCGTCCTCAATGTCGACCGAGCCCTCTCCAACAGTCTTGGCAGGCGAACCTTCAGAGATCTCATCAACAGAAGGAGCTGTGGTAACCCAAGGAGCAGTGAAGTCAGCATCGGCCAGGGAATTATCCACAGCGATACTAGATATGACGGCCTGCCGAGTCATTGAAGCCAGCACGAAGAGCGGAGCACTAGGATTGCAGGGAGCATACGTGGTGTTGTATGGATGCTCCGCAGGAGCATCAATCCAGCAATTCCTCTATGGCTGCTCGGCATCCAGAACTCGCAGCTCACGAGACCAATCCTCGGTGGCAGGAGCCCACGCCAACACTTCCATCGAGTTTTGGAGATAACTGGGCTCCAACACGACCTCGGTGGGCAAATTTCCAGAACCACCGTTTGTCTTCGAACACCAATCCCACAGCCGATCAAACTGCTACCGGAGGAGGTCCGCGCGGTTGTTCCGCGTCCGATTAACGTCGGCCCATAAAGAGAGAATGACCTGAGTGAACGGGTCGCAAGGGTCGCTGGCCTTGCGGAAAACCTGGATTGCGTTATCCATGGACGAGACTTGGAGCCAATGACGGCGTTCCCACAGAGCAACACAGAGATCAACTTTCTTATTGTCCTCATACCAATGACCGGATAACCGGCGCCACATGCGCACAAGGCCACCGAGCCCTGATGCGCGTATCGAAATTCGCACCCCCTTGACACACTTTCCGAGCGAGAAAGTCAAGGGCTCGCTGGGCATCCGGTCAAAGAGTACCCGCCAAGGGTGCCTCGAGCTCCTGACATTGTGCATCAGAGCGAGGAATGCAAAATCGAGAGGAGGCGAGTGCTCTTTCGGAGCAGGTGCAGATAATCTGACATTCAGCATCTTGCACCACGCCTTCTGCGCACCGACAGCCGTAAACCCAGGCTTCAAAAAACGTTCTGCATTTGCAGGAAGCTTTCGTGAGTTGGTGGCTCGAGAAATTGCCGCCACCGTCGGGATAAACGTGGAAGTGTCAGTGCCACGCCGAACAGTCACTGTGGCCGTGATAACCCGGGTAGGGCGCCGGGGGCGGGGGTCATTTTGAACAACGTGACCGCGTCCTCGGCGAGTACGTGACGAAGACCTGACCGAGACCTCGGCTGTGCCGCGGTTGCACGAGAGCCGTAGAGGACTCGACCGAGCCTTCGATGCCAAACCCAGCAGAGAAAAGCTCAGCAGAGGACTCATTATCCACTTCTGACCCTTTGACAGAGGCGTCGGGTCCACCCAAGACAGCTAAATCCACGTCAATCTCGTTTAGAAGTAGAGAAATTGGGACTGCTGAAGGTTGCCGTGGAGGCGACGGCGGGGAACCTTGGGCAGGAGGTGGTGCAGTCGAAATGGTGGGTGCCACGGATTCTGCAGCACCATCACCAGGAGTCTCTGCGGAAGAGCTCTCATGAGGTACCTGTGCCTCCACCGAGGAATTTGCCGTAGAAGGCTCCGTGGCGACCGACTCCTCGGTCGAAAGCTCGGCAACACCAGCAGGAATAACGACAGCCTGTACCGTGCCTTGCGGAGGAGACGACGTCGTCGCAACCGAGCCCTCGTTGGTGAGGGCGAGCATGAAGTCGTCATCCGCCAGCCGTCGCTCAAGATTCTCGCGCATCCTCAGCTCCGAGATGACAGAGGTGCTTCGACGTGGGTGGCCATCCTGGCGGGGAAAATAGGAAACCACCGACGACGAGAATGGGCTCGAGTCTTTCTTTGACGAAAAATCTGTGGCATCGTCAGCGGTGAGATACAGGACCTCCACCACAGATTTGGAAGAGACATCGCCTGTGGCGGCAGCCTGACTCTTTCCAGACGTAGCCGTGACTTGAACGCTCGAAAGAGGGGACGACCGAGCACTCGCACTACCAATAGGGGCTTCAGTGCCGAGGTCAAATCCCGCGTCATCAGCAATCTCGCCCTCCTCAAGGATAGGACGAGGTGACGAACGAGACTCCTTGCTAAGTGATGACTCACCAGCCGGGGTAGGAGTACTGGGCCGAGCCTTCTTGTGACCTGAGCGAGCCACCGAAAGAACGGAAGTGGATGCCGCCTTCCTCTTTAAATCGACAGAAGGCTGACCGAGCCGTCGTGCCGCAGGAAGTTTGGAAGGGGACGATGTCGCCTACCGCACCACCGCGTTTTGCCGAAGGCGCTTGCGCTTGCGAAGTGGGTTCTCGTTTCGCTCGTCATCAAACAACCCCCCCATTGTCTGAACCACTGACCGAGACCTTGGTAGACGGCTCCACAGACGAATCACCCGAGGGCCGAATAAATGAGTGCTCGACCGACTCCTCATTGAGCGAACCAGGACCGAGAGATGCATTGGAGGGTAACTCAGACACCTCGGCGACAGGAGGTTCAGAGTCCTTGCCGACCGAGCCTTCAGACTGTGAACTCGGTGGCATAAGCCGCAGGAGCCCCGTGTGATTGGGACCTAGACCCAAGAGCTCCCAGTCGAGACCAGATGCGGACAGCCCGGCAGTCGAGAGGATCAACGCATCCGTGTTGAGCTCGTGCTCGGCAGAGTTTTACCGGAGCACAGAATTGGCTCGACGAAGACTGGCATTTTCGGCCAACAGAGCCTTCATCCGAGGCCACGGAGAGCAGACCTTCCCTCGGTCATGCTCTTCCAGGTACTGCCGGAGCTTGGTGAGCTCGGCATTGTAGACAGCGAACCCAGCCTTCATGCGATCACGCTCCTAAGCGACATAGCGCATCGCTGTAGCGCAGTCGGCATCGGAGGAGCGACAGCGGTCTTTCAACCACTGAACGCCGTGAGCTTGCTCAGCGACCGTGATATCCAGCTCGCGGATGCGAGCGACCAATTCCTCATTTTCTGTCCGGAGGTCTTGGTTTGGGTCGTGCATAGTGTAGAAGTCCTCGGTGGACCTCACACTATCCGCCTCGGCCGCTGTACGAAGTTGTACTTCGTTAGCGAGGCCTCGTTCGGCGTCCTCGCACCGAGTTTGGAGACGAGATACCTCGTCTCTCAAACGAACCAACTCATCAGCCTCCTGCGGAGGAAGCCGATGAGGAGCCACGGCAGCCGTCAAAACCTGTTGGACCGTTGAAGCGCTATCCAAGCGCTGGTCCAAGTAGGAATTGACGCGAGCAGGGGGCTGCCGGGCCATTCCCACCACGAGCTTAGCCAGTTCACACATGGAACTTAGCAAAGGCTCGGTGGCGTCTCCACGAAGCTCAACCAAGCCACCCGACGACGCTCCACACCCGCCAGACACCCCGCAAGTTGCCGAGTCCACCGCCGGCGCGGGAGTTGGTGTCTTCGAGTGGCAGGCACTCGCTAGGGGAGTCCCTGGCTCTAGAGATGCCGGAGGACTATCCTGCAGCCGGGAACCCTCGGACGCCGCGTCATCTAACTCAGGTGCGGGAGTTGGCGACCGAGAGCTCTCAGCCGAGGCATCGGGAGGAAGAGAAGAGGCACCTGCCGACCCAGAGTCCTCGGACACCCCGCTATCCGGTGAGGATACGCGAGTTGGTGACCGAGCACCCTCGGCCGAGGTCTCTGGAGGCGAGGAAGGCGACGCCAGAGGTAGCGGATGAAGCTGGATGGCATGGCACATAACGAGGAGGTGAATAGTTAACATCGCTGGCGACGAGACAGAGGCAGACCAGGAGGTGACCACGTACCAAGTCGTCTTCATGAAGAGCTCGTGCTGCCGCAGCCGAGGCATCAGCCAGGGCGCGCGATGCGGGTGACATGGTGCGATCCATGGAAAGCGCTACGACGCTCACCAGTTTGAAGGGCTTGCGTCGAGGCGGGGGCAGTTG